ATTTTAGTTTATTTGGGGTTGCAATAAAAAAAGCTTGAAACAGGCTTACTAAATTGTTGATAGCAATCCCTTTCAAGGAGTCAAGTGGGGCAAAATGAAACAAAACAAGATTCAAGGAGATGTGAGTCAGTATTACTTATCTAAAAAATCTGCAGCTTATTGATTTCAAACAAACTTTTATTATGAACGTGAATAAGATGTCAAATATATATGAAAATTTAAGACAAAAGTCAGATGCTAGTAGATATCACTTTTTGGGTGATGAACTTTGAAACAAAACCAACAAAATTCCTATTGGAAATTCGCTCAGGGAAAACAGAGAATATCAACTGCGTGACAAACAAGTGCACTGTTTCTTCCTTCTTCCTCCATCCATGCCTTTCTGTGCCTTCCAACTTTAGGATGAAATAAAAGAAAATTAGCAATTTTGCACTATTAACATGTACCAGTGATTTTCTATAATCTCAAGAAATAATTAATCCTATGGTATCTATTTTCTAATTGGGAGGAAACAATAGTGTTCTTCCCGTAACCCAGACCCCTGGATGTCAGGATGCTGCTGCATCCAAAGGCTTCAAATATGTATCTGGTCAGACCAACCTCATCTCCTTACTGTCAAACACTAGGAATTCCTTTTTTTTTTTTTAAAGAAACTTGAGTGACCATTCTGGGATTTAAAATGGTCTTTCCACCTTGAAAGCCTGTGCTCTTTCCATAGATCATACTCTCTTAATGTCTCAGACTATGTTTCTATATCTATAAATTGAGAATGAGAAATAAAGACAGATAAAAGATTTAATCCAATTCAGTGATAAACAATAATCTCGCTATGACTAATTTTCTTTTCTTTCAACTGTCACATGAAATAAAAAAAAATTACAACTAAACAAATACTTGGGTATCAATCACTGAATGCGGTCCTAATTGGAAATCTTCACTTTTTACAACTTTGTAAGTAGCCACATTTGCAAAGGTTTAATTGCCTACTTAACCCAAGAAACTATTTTTGTGACCAAATGATGAAAACTCAGCTGGGGCACAGTCCAGTC